GTATTTGTTTTATTTTAATTTTAGTTATAATATGTCTGAATTTATTTTGTCTGTATAGGTCTTTTAAGTTTTTAGTTTTATTTAATTTTATTTATTTTAATACTTCAACAAACTAAATGGAAATGAAATAACATATATATTTAATTTATAAATGTGTATATATATATATATATATATGTATGTGTGTGTTATAAAGTTTTAGCTTTTAGTTTTGGATCTGTTTTTAGTTGTTTTAATACTACAATTGATTGCTTCTGTCGTCCTCATTTGTAAGTCGCTTTGGATAAAAGCGTCTGATAAATGACAAAAAAAAAATATATATATATATATATATGTATATATATATATAAACACGCACACAGTCAGGTCCATATACAGTCATGTGAAAAAGTTAGAACACTCTATTGAATTCCATGGTTTTCTGTATCGGGGCATAGTAAAAAAAAATGTCTGGTCCTTGGCAGGTCTTAAATTTGAAAACTAAACCCACAAGACATTGCACTGTGTCATTATTTATTTACTAAAAATAATGCCAAAATAGAAAAGCCATGTGTGACAAAGTTAGGACACCCTTACTGTTAACATATAGGGTGTGTTCCAAACGGGATATATCGCCCTCTGAAGGGCACTTCGGAGTGAAAACAATCATGGCCGCCATATTGAAGGGTCGTTCCAAACCGAAGTGCTCAAAACTGGCCACTTCAAAGGGCCCTTCGGAATGAAGGATTACAACTGATGGACACTTCGGGCTCCCATGATCCTTTGCATGATAACGGCGCCTCCGTGTGGGCAGAAGATGATGACGCAGAAGGGCACTTCAAGAAACAGTTGTTTGGACACCCTTCAACCCTTCGAAGCTCTCACTCCGGAGGGTAAACCCGTTGAAGGGATTAGGGCATAGGGATGAGCCCTTCCGAATGGAACAAAGGGAGGAATTAAGAGGGTAAGTAGCAGTCAGGCACTGCTAATCAAATACCTTTGATTAACTGATCATCAGCAAGTGTGAGCTCCTCTATAAAAGCAGAAGTTTTGGCGGTTTGCTGGTCTGGAGCCTTCAGGTGTGTGTTAACACAATACCAAGAAGGAAAGACATCAGCAATGATCTTAGAGGAGCAATTGTTGCTGCCATTAATCTGGGAAGAGTAATACAGCCATTTGCAAACAAATTGAAGTCCATCATTCCACAGAGATGAAGACAATTCACAAGTGGAAGACATTCAAACAGACCCCAATCCTCCCAGGAGTGGACATCCCAGCAAATTCACCCCAAGATCAGATAATGTAACGCTCAGAGAAATGGCAGAAAACCCAAGAACTTCACCGCAGACTCTACAGGCCTCAGTTAACATGTTAAATGATAAAGTTAATGGCAGTACAATTAGAAAAATATGGGACAAGTATGGCATGTTTGGAAGGCTTGCCAGAAGAAAGCCTCTTCTATAAAAAAAACAAACAAACAAACAAAAAAACATGGCAGCACGGTTTAGGTTTGCAAAGTTGCATCTGAACAAACCGTAAGACTTCTAGAACAATGTCCTTTGAACAGATGAGACCAAAGTGGAGATGTTTGGCCATAATGCACAGTGCCACAATTGGTGAAATCCTAAAGAGCATATCAGCACAAACACCTCATAGCAAAAGTCACACATGCTGGTGGAGTGCTGATGATTTTGGGCTCAGATAATGTAACGCTCAGAGAAATGGCAGAAAACCCAAGAACTTCACCGCAGACTCTACAGGCCTCAGTTAACATGTTAAATGATAAAGTTAATGGCAGTACAATTAGAAAAATATGGGACAAGTATGGCATGTTTGGAAGGCTTGCCAGAAGAAAGCCTCTTCTATACAAATAGAATATGGCAGGATAGCTTAGGTTTGAAAAAGTTGCCTCTGAAAAGACTATAAGACTTCTAGAACAATATCTATTGAACAGACCAGACCACAGTGGAGATGTTTGGCG